AAAGTTAACTCTGCAGCGTGTGTGTTCGGAGTTTAGGCTTGAAAGTTTGATGGCGAGAGATTAACGGTGTACATGGGCTGTACCACCCTTCACTTAACCCTAAACCCTAAACCCTAAACCCTAAACCCTAAATCACTCTCGCCCAGGATCCCTGAATCGGTTTAAGACTTTCGGTCACTTGGAGGATCTGGAGGATCAGAAGCCTTAACGGGGTCGGGTTTAGGGTTTAGGGTTTAGGGTTTAGGGTTTAGAGTTTAGGGTTTGTACTTTCTACTTACTAAAGCCCATGATCCTCTTCAGTAGGCTTTCACCGCGAACCTAACCCTAAACACTAAACAGCTCTGAGAGTCTAAACGAATCCTACAAAACCCTAAACCCTAAACCAACCCTAAACCCTGAACATCTGCAAACCCGAAACCCTAAGCCTAAACATCTCTGAGACTCTGAACCCTAAGCCCCAACACCCCAAAACCCCTAAACCCTAACCCTAAACCCGAAGCTCCAAGCAACCCTACCTTGGGGGCTCAGGGGGACGCACTTTGGGGCCTGGGACTTATGATGATCCCCGACATTTTGTTGCGTTTTAACTGGCTAGGGGTGGGTTTAGTTTAGGGTTCAGTGAGTTTAGTGCTGCTTAGGGTATGACTGGGTTTTGGTTAAGGTCACTTAGGTTACAAGCGAGCGGTTCGTCGGAGGATACAAGTACCCTGAAGCTCCAAGTGGGGCATACACGCAGCCCTAAACCCCAAAACCCTAAACCCCTAAACCCTAAACATACATGCACATACATGCACATCATTCTTTTGCGGCTCTGCGGCTACAACGGCCCTGGATGCTGTCCATCTGATCCATCTGCGGGTGGCCCTTGTTGTTGTGCCTGGTTTAGGGCTGTCGTATTATCCTCATCGCTGGCCTCCGGTTGAGCTCCAGCCTTCTTCAATGCCTTAACTACGTTCAAGTGGCCGGCATACTTAGCCAAGCTGAAAGCCGTGAAGCCATACACATCCCGGGCCTCCAGCTGGGTTCCGGCCTTCAGCAACGCCTTGACCACTTCCAGGTGGCCTTTCACTGAGGCATACATGAGGGCTGTCTGACCAACCTCATTGCCGACATCCGGCTGTGCTCCGGCCTTAAGCAACGCCTCGACCACGTTCCGGTGTCCTTGCTCGGCAGCTCTCATGAGGGCTGTGCTGCCCTGCGTGTTAGCGGCGTCGTGCTGGGCTCCAGCTTTGAGCAACGCCTCGACCACCTGCAGGTCGCCGTAGCACGCAGCATGGATAAGGGCTGTGTTGCCATCCCCATTTCGGGCCTCCAGCTTTGCTCCAGCCTTCGCCAACGCCTCGACCACCTTCCAACGGCCTTGGTTTGCAGCCTCCATGAGGGCTGTGCTGCCGAACTCGTTGCGGGCCTCCATCTGGGCTCCAGCTTTGAGCAACGCCTCGACCACCTGCGGGTGACCTTTGCAGGCAGCCCAGACAAGGGCTGTATTGCCTTCCTCATCACGGGCCTCCAGCTGCGCTCCCGCACTCAGCAAGGGTTCGATGACCCCCTGGTGTCCTTCGTATGCGGCGTAGATGAGGGCCGTGTAGCCGCGCCGGTCCGGAGCGTTCGGATCAGCATTCTGATGGAGCAGCTGCTTCACCTGCAGTTGCCTGGACACTGCATCGAGCTCCTGACTCCCCTGCTCCGCCTCCCTGATGTGTTCGTCCCAGTCACGGGCCAAAGCAAGTGCGCGCTCCTGCGCAGCTTTCCACTTGAGAAACTTCCGCTTTTCCGCCAACGCCCTCATCCGCTGGACGGCGAGGCCCGCATCATTTGCGATGGGCTTGGTACCGGTAACGGCCTCGAGGGCGAGATGAGGACTCACTGGTAGGTCTGGTGGGACAAACCCTTAACCCTGCTAAACCATTAAACCCTAAACCGTAAAATCTGTATAGACCCTAATACAACCACGGCCTGTCGCAGCGCCGCGTCCTTGCGGTCTTGAGCCTCTTTGGCCTCAAAGTTTGAGTTTGGTCAGAGCCGTCTTGAGATCAGGGTCAGTTGAAGAGTTTTGGGTTGAGGGAAGCATTGGGAAGTTAGGTTTAGGGCTTAAGCAGAGTCCTTTCAAACTCGACGCTGC